GATATATATATTAGGTTATGGTTATAGTTTATTTTAAACTATTCAACTTTCTATACAGATCGAATGTTTTATTTTTTTAATTTCTAAAATGTTTTTAGAAAACATTACATGTTAAAAACAGTCAAATAATTGATATTATTAACTTGAAGCTGACTTTGTAAATTGGGTTTGACTGGTTGGTAGATGTAAATTATAAAAACTAAGTTGCTGAAGTCAAGAAGCAGTTAAAAAATGACAAATACTTGTAAAACCAATGTGACTCTCTTTCCTTTAATGATGTTGTTAATCAGGATGATTTTCTTATCAGAAATAATCAGAATGATTTAATGTCAGAATAATTAATTAGTTTGTAATGAACTGTTATGTTTAATTTCTTAAAAAGAAAAATGAAATGTTAAAAAAACTTGGTATTCGTAAAAAATGATGACATATAAATCAAACTACAATTAAGTAAACATTTCCTAAGAATAATATTCAATACATTTTAATAATAAAAATGTCAACGTTCATTTAAAGTTTAAAATATAAAAACCCCACAAAAAGAGTTAGAAAATTTATACTTTAATATTGAGTTATTAACAACTCTCTATATATTAAAATTTAATTATTCAACCGTTAAATATTTCACATTATATCAGTAATTGTATACAAAATATTTTAAATAAATGGGACGTTTATATTTAAAAAGTATACAATTGTTTTAATGTTTTATAAATATTTTAAGGCTTTAGATATTTAATAAAGGAAGTTACAATGCGTTATGCCTTAAATAAGTTATTTATATTAATTTCGTTAAAAAACTTTGCAAAAAAAGTTAAATTAAATATCAAGATTTTTATAATTAATTTGGAAGTCCTATAATTAACTTCATATATCAATAAAAGTTTTCTTTATTATTATCATAATCTCTTCAACAGCACAAAATAAAATTTTAACCAGTAATAGTATAAATATTTGTTTAAATATTAATAGTGAAATTAAAAATCTTATTATACATGAGTACATTTATTTAAAATATACATTTAAAGAAAAACATTAAACGTCATGATGGACTACGAAATGTATCTTCAAAATGTATTGGGATCCATTTTAAAAGTCAAACTTATTAAAATTTAATTTTCAATTTGGATGACTTACTATCATATATTTGATTTTTATGATGATGTATTATTAATTTGAGTAATGATACCATGACATGTTTTTACATTTGACACGAATTATAAGGGTAAAATAATCAAAAAAATGTAAACTTTTTTATTGTTTCAGAAAAGAAAAGAATGAAAAAGTAAGTAAAGATAATATCAAATGAATGTAAAATATTTAGGTGTATAAAAAAATTTTACTCTATTCATTTAGGTGTGTAAAATTATATTCAAAAATCATCTTAAAAAGAATATATTTAAACTGCCTTTAAACCATGGTTGGATAAGGTAAAAATAACTTCTAACTATTAATATTAATCGTCTATATTGGGTATTAAATCATAAATTGATATTAAATAACTCGATTGTTTCCTTATTAAATAAAATCATTAAAATAACCCGAAGTTTATATTATTCTTTCTTTGCAATTAATTGTTATCATGGATTTCAAAGAAAGCACGCATTCAAATGTCATTTATTAATCGTCTTCTTATCCTCTTCATACCATTTTCCAAACAAAAGTTACATTTAAAAAAGAAAGTTATGTACACATAAAACAAATTTTGACCAATTTTGTAAGGAAACTAATAACATAGTAAAAACACTACACAAAAGTAGTATAAAATCTCTACAAAAAGAGAAAAAAATATCTCATTTACTCTTCGAAATTCACACAAATGGCACATAATCACGATTTATAGAAAAATAAACAACCTTTAAATTGAATTATTCCTTTGAATATGACATGATATACTAGGATCATAACTTTCAACAAGAACCATTTTTTCTTTTTACCAAATACAAATAATAATAATAATAAATAATAAAACACACCTTATTAATTCATGAAAAATTTTCTCCATGATCCTTTCCAAAGCTACTGATTTATTCATCTATAAATTACACTCTTCATATTCTCTTCAAAGTCGTCCCTGGAATCTCAATGAGCAAAAACATTCTTAAACCAAAAATGTCAAAGAAAATCTCGAAATCCCTGAGAGATTATCTCATCAAAATCAAACCCCAACGTTCCATGGTTCAATTATCCTCTAAGAAATGGGTCCCCAAAGGTTGCAAGCATCCTAGGACTTCTTCTATCGACATGGACAGCAACAAAAACATCACCAAAAAAAACACCACCAACGCCAAGGACGACGAAGCCATGTTAGCAGACATTGATCGCTTTCTCATCGAGAATTTCAAGAACCTATTCCTCGATCGTGAAGAAACCACCACCAACAATGAATCCAAAGAACAAAATTCTCCCAAACTAGACTCTGTCAGATTTGACTCTTCTCTAAGGTTCGATGATTCGCCACTGAACCTCTACACAGACACAACAACCGAAGCAGGACTATCCAGTTTGACCATGTCTGAGCCCGAGAGCACGGAGGAACAAACCACCGTTCTGAGTAATTGCGTGGTGGTTTTGGCCAACTCCGCCAGACCCACCGAGGATTTCCGTCGGTCCATGGAGGGCATGGTTGAAGCAAGGTACGCTGAAACAACCATGAATCAGTGGAATATTTTCATGTTTTTGCCGTGTGAAATTTCAGTCTTTTAGTTTTTGTTTCTTATATATTGTCTGATATCAACTTTTTTTGGAGACGATTTCTTAGAAAATAATTAAATTTAACGTTGATTTTTGTGGTAGATTGAAGAAGAGTGAAAAGGTAGATTGGGGCTTCATGCAGGAGCTTTTGTTCTGTCACATGAATCTGAACCAGAAGAAGTGGCACAAGTTCATTCTCAGCGCCTTCGTGGATATCGCCACCACCCTCCGCCAGACACCGGAGATTTCTCCGGCGAACCCCCAGCCGCCGCGGAGCGTTCGGACTGTTAGAATCGGAAGAGAAGTGAGGAAGAAGACAAAGGAAGCAATCACCTTGGAATTTGGGTCACCCTAAATTACCTCTATTACGAGGTTCAATCTCCTGGTATCTGTCATAATAAGAAAACATGGAATGAACTTTGATTTTCTGATTTATTAATGTAGACTGTAGTAACTGTTAAACTTTTTCTTTATTCAGCTAACAAAATAAGCATATTAAACTTTTTAAAATGCATATGGAATAGAATTTTATTTTAGGATTAAATATATATGTTTTTTAAACTATAATTTTTTTTAAACTAAATTATAAAATATACAATAATGATATGACAACATTTTTTTAACAACATTTTAACATTACGTGTCATTCTGTGATTGGTTTATATTAATGTTTATGAATATTATTATTATTATTATTGATTGTGAAGTAATTTTGGATCAATTACATAATAACACAGGTAAATAATGTTAAAATGTTATAAAAAAAATATTATCAAAGTATCATTATTTTAAAATATATCATTTGTTACTTTATCAATCAAATTAGTGTAAAATATTATCGTCATAGGTAATATTATAATTTATATGAATTTTTGTTTATATGTTCTATAAAAGCATTTTATAGAACATTTATTGGGAATAATATTTTACATAACTTTTTTATAAAATGTAAAGATTAAATATTTTATAATTTAATTTAAAGATAATATGTAATTTTTATAACAATTTAAAAAATATATTTTATCCTCGTTGTTGTAATATGAAGTGGGGAAGATGATGAATTTCTATTAAACGTGTACTCAAACTAGATAGAAGAAGCCAACTTTACTATAAAGATTGAATATGAAAATATTCACTAATAATCCTGTCTACGTCTGTGTAACCGTGCGTATCCATAAGTTATTACATCTGTGATTTTAATTATTCATTTAATAAAATAAAAGTATTAATTTTTAATAACTTTTTTATTTAATAGCTGATTTTTAACATATAGAGACATATTCATATAAATATATATGGTATTTATTTGAGTTATTTTTATTAATATAATTTATGTTTAATAAATATAATAATCAATTATGTATGTGTGTACAAATACAATAAATTTAATGTTAAGCGTGAAGAGTTTTTAACATATTTTCAATGTATATACAGTGTATTTTAATTAGTTTAATTACTTCACAAAAATAACATTGTTTTAACATATTAAAGTAAATAATCAATAATTTATACAATTATCTATACCTATATGAGGATACATCTATTTGATATAGACTTTTATCTTTTCTATTTTATTCTTAATGATTTATTTGTTAAGGATAATTGTATAAAATTATATATAACCAATTTCAATTTTATTTTTTAAATTTGGATTAAATTCTTTACTAAAAATTATTTATATTTTATTTGATAATACTTGTGATTTATTATACTTTCAAATTTAGATTAAAAATTTTACTAAAAATATACTTATATTTTATTTGTTTGTGGTACTTTCAAATTTAGATTAAATTTTTTACTAAAAGTTATTTATACTTTATTTCATAATATTTATGCGACTCACATTTTTTAATTTATAATTTAGTTACTTCTTCTAATTTAAGATTTTTAATCTACATTTTCTATTTTATGTTTTAGTAATTTTGTAATTCCAAAAATTTGATTTTTTTTCTAATAATTTTATTTATTATTTATTATTTTTAAACAATTTTAGATCTTATTTTATTATGAATCAAATCAAATTAAACTGAAGTTGGAAAATTACAATAACATAATATTTAAAAATACTCACACACATGAATATGTTTATGGTGATTTATATTATATAAAAGTTCCACATTTTTTTTTCACTTTTACTTTTCAAATGATTATTTTTCTATTTAACTGTTTTTATTTTAAACTTAACAATTTCCTAAAATTAAATAAATAAAAAATTATAACAGAATAAATAAAAACTATTTACAATTAAATTAAATTAAAAGATATTTATATTTATTTTTATATTATAATATTTTTGTTATAACTCATAATGTTGTCTAATAAAGATTCTCCTCTTACAATCCTATTATAAATGTTGTTTCAATTAGTAATCTCTAATAGAAAAACATTATGTGATAAAAAAAAAATTATCTTGAAAAAGAAATATTAAAGACGCATGTATTTTCACTTATTAAAGAAAATGAGAAAATCTTTACTGCATGAAACTTTTCATTAAAGTATATAATGATAGAGAAATGAGAAAACTTTTACATCACACACGTATTATATTAATATTTAATTTTACTATACATACATAAGTATTTTTATTGAAATTAATAATATTTATTCGTGCTACAATAAGTCATTGAAGGAGATGGAGAAAATCTTTACGATATAAATGTATTAAATGTATTGTATTAATATTAATATTATTTAATTCTTAGTGTGTTATCTAACACTTTACGGTGGTGGTTCAGAATTATTTTTTAAATATTGAGTTATCATTTTATATATTTTAAAATTATTTTTTTGACTGTCTAAAGTTTCAAAGTAAAAGTGTTAAGAAGTTTGGCCGTATTCTAGTCGATGTAAGACTTTTAACACTCCTTCACGTTGAGGTATATACATCTCGAGTGTGGAACTAAACATTAATGGGTGGGGTGAAATGTGGACTTTAAACCTAACTCAATCCATAAAACCGACTTATAGAGTGAGGTTTGCATCCACTTATATATTATGAATTGATTTTATCTCTAGACATTGACTTCTAACAAAAGGAGAAAAAAATTTCGTTTTTTTTTTCGAATTTTTTACATGATATATCATAATGTGTTTTAGTTACGAGGTATAATTAGTTTTTTTTTCTTATTTTATCTTTATTTGTAAGAATTAATATGTTGTATTTTTATCTTTGTCAATACTTTCTTTTTTATTTTGAAGCCTTGATTTTCTTTTCACGTGTTTGTTAAACTTTTGAACGTAGAAAATAGAGTTCGTCTTCTTTATTAGACTCACGTCTTTCCGTATGATTGTTGTGCCTTTTTAAGGTTTTGAAAAACACTTTTTTTTTCACTATAAAAAATTAAGCAATTATAACTAAAGTAAATTTTGTTAATGAATTTAAAATCTTTTATTACCTTTTTCGGTCAGAGATATATTGATAGCATTTATCGTTAAACTATAAATTTTATTGGAATAGATATTTTTAGGCTTAATTGGTTAGTTCCTCCGATCTCTCCAAAGTTTTGAAACTAAGAATGAGAAGAGAACCTTCTTTAGAAGCATGCAAGAATCTACTCCAGCCCCTTTTCATTCCAGGTTTAGCTTTATAACATAAAATACGTTCCTGCATGCTATAGGAACCAACCAAAGTTTTCATTTAATCCCTTTGATTTTTCAAAACAAAAAAAAAATAACCTTCTCTCACTTTGGAGACCAACCCCAACCATGAAAAAGGAAAGAATGTATTAGTTCACCATTGTTCTTAATTCTTGTATATCTTTATGAAATACTGATGTGGGAATTTGTTGTCAAATGCTTTATGTCAGTGGTGACGTGGCATCATAAATAGTTGAGGATTGTTCTTCAAATGTTCTTGAAGTTTCTGAATACAAGATTAAAGGGAGTAGAAGTGGTAGGTTTGGGTCGAGGATGGTGAAAAAGCTTGTGCCTAAAAAGTTCCGTGCCCTAGGAAAGAGAAAAAGGATAACGGGTGTTGCTTGTGGAAGATGATAAGTAACTCGTGTTAGAAACAGAAGAGAGAGGAAAAGTTGGGCGTTGCAGAGAAAGAAGAAGAGAGAAGAAAAAATTACAGATTTGATACCCACTCGTCATGGTATTAACTCCGTTTCTCTCAATAGAAGGGATGTAATTGATATTGTTATTATCCTCCATTGTGTAATATTTAAACTAATAGTAACTCATTAGTGTTCGGTCAAAGCTTGTAATGTTCGGTCAAGCTTTTAGTGTTCAGTCAAGCTTAATAGTGTTCGGTTATGTTTTAATGTTCGGTATCATTTCTTCAAAACTTACCTAGTATAGACCGTTCGGTCCTGTTCTGTGGATAAGTGAAAGATCGCTCGACTTTACACTAAGTGTTCGATTAGATTAGTCTAAAAGGTATTTTCTCATTCGGTCTTGTTTTTAAGATGGGATATTATTTTCTTGGGTCAGTTTGAATGTATTGATGATGAAGTATGATGGTATTTAAATTGTGAAATGAATGAAATAGTATGGTTATGAAAGAGTATTCCAGGGAGGAATATCTCAGAATTTGGTTATTGAATGGTAAAGTATGAATGTGGTCATGCTAAGGTGGCGTTTATCCTGATATTAAATGATTACTCATTCTCAAGTAGAGAGGAGTAAATCATGTGTGAGGATGACAGGAGGTCCTAGTTCATAAAGTTAAGATGGACGAATTATACCGGACTAACCTCGGGTGACAGCTGTTGAGTGCATCCCAGCTACTACATCACCCGGGTGCAAAAACGTCGTAGCTACGCAGAATTCATACAGTTCGGATAGTCTGAGTTAAGTGGTCGGTTTTTGCTTGTATTGATTTATGGTTATGATTGAAAATGTATAATTGGTTGTTGTATGGTTGACCTATTGAATCATATCATATTTATGTGAAATATATGTTTACTGAATTAATTAAATTACATAAGCTTAACCTATTTTATTGTCTTGTCTGTATTGCCCGGTTGTCATCTTCCTGTTGCAATGATCATCTTGTGGATGTGAGCAGAAGGATAATAGTTGCTAGAAGAAGCTTTAGAAGAAGTGGAGGTTAAGGCTCGACCTTGAGACCGTTCGACAGTGAGAGTTATTTTGTTTTTTTATAATCGTTCTGTTAAAAGTTTAGTTTGGAACCGTTCAACATAGTAGTCCGTTTTGTAAATTAAAAAATTCTGTAGTATTGTAGTGAGGTCGTTCGGTTATAATTGTACATTTTCCCCTCTTAACTGCATTGTAATATTATTAAGTGTGGGTATTCTATAATATGGTTTTACACTTTATTTTTGGGATGTTAGAAACAATATTTTATATTTAATAGTTTTTATGAGAAGTGGTTTATATATTATATACACAACA